CCACCGTACGAACTCAGCGAGCTCCTGGTTGTAACGAAATGTGGTGAACGCTGCCGGCACAGGTTGCTGCCAGATGACAGAGAGAGAGGCGCGCGTATTCCATCAACCTTAGAAGTGACCGAGTGCAGTTAGCTTGTCGAGCAGACATCCAATCCACCAGACACTCCGTAAATGTGCGGGGCAGCGTTCTGCCTCGCGGAGGCCGGGTGCGCTGCCACCCGCTCGGCGGCATGCCACAAGGAGAGCGAATTCCCCGCACCCCTCCACCCGATATTTGCCTCGCGACTACGACTTTGAATTCATTCCTCGTAGCGCCCATCATGTTAATGTTGGTGAGTTTGATGGTGTTTGCGTTGCCACGGCCGCCCTTCGATCACCAGTCATCTGTCGGCCGTCCCGCTGACGATGCTGTGCAGGGTCCCGCTTTCACTCCTGTCAGGCAGGACGACACAATGTTAACAGACGCACAGCATTCTTAGTTTCTCTCTCCCATACCGAAACTTTCTAAAACTCTATCTACGGATTAGGAATCGTCCAAGCACAAGTTCTAGCAATGCCGGCGGCGACCACGCAGTGTTTGATATTCGACGACGATATATATAAGTATATATATATTTATGAAAAACACACACATGCACACACACGCCAACACGCACGGCACGCGCAGCGCGCGCCGCACAGCCACACACACACGCACACACGCACGGCACGCACGCACACACACCACACATTGCAGCATGCACGCTACGCACACACACACACACGCAAGCCACGCACGCACGCACACACACGCAGCTATGCCACGGCAGACACACACGGCAGCCATGCACGCACACACACACCGCACGCAGCCATGCCACGCACGCACACACACGCACACACGCAGACGCAACACACACACACGCAGCCATGCACGCACGCACACACACGCACACACACACACGCAGCCATGCACGCACGCACACACACGCAGCCATGCACGCACGCACACACACGCAGCCATGCACGCACGCACGCACACGCAGCCATGCACGCACGCACACACACGCAGCCATGCACGCACGCACACACACGCACATACGCAAAGACGTGAGATGCTATTAACAGTTGGTATTTGTGAATGACTGGCTTTGCATGATCACTAATAGTATGAACATATCTATGCAATGATAATATTACATCAATATCTACATGATACAATCTACACAATCCTATAGACATGTACGATTCGTTTTAATAATAATAAAAGTACATTCTTCCTGATGTTCCATGTTATACTAAGCAGATGTTCACTATCTCATGAAAGCAATAGCGGAGTATGAGGCTATCAATTAAGACTGCATTCAACATCAAACAAATATTGCTCGAGTTATTTTAGGAAAACAACGTGAAGCATTATTCCCTTCGGAAATTTCATTGATGCACGGTTTTGATTAATGGGAAGCCAGATGATATTGCTTATGGAATGACGATTCAGCAGCTTTACTCGACTCGCTCTTCGCCCTTTTATCTCCCTTCATAACTACACAGAACGTTATTCAAATGTGGTGCTTACATCCCGATGACGACATTCTTTCATTTGAACTAGTTAAAGAGAAATAATTTGTAGTGGGAAGAGAATTCACGACATCGTCACACACGACATGAGTGAACGACATCAGGCAATATATTAAGACCTCAAGTACAGTATACTGAAGCTACTATAGTACTAACATTGTGCTCTTAATACAGTAAGAAAACTCACATGAGTATAAAGGAGATCGCAAGCAAGCACATGTAATAAGGAGGTAATAATAGGGAGTAACAGTGAGACAGAGATATAAGAGAAATAAAAAGTTTTTGGGGAGGGGGTACAGGGAAAGAGAAAGAAATAGTAAGATAGGGTACGTAAGAGACAGAAAAAGAGAGAGCATGAGAGAGGGAAAGAAGAGAGATAAGTGCACAGAGAGTGGGGGCAAGGAAGCAGACAAGACAACTGTCCTGAATACAGCAACAAGAGAACAGATCCACGTAACGGCAGAAACCAATAATCAATATCAATGTTTAAATGGCCAATTCCGGCAGTATTTAACTGCCCAACAGGACCAGGCATTAGCACATGCACCTACTACAAGCGCACTGTCAATATTTGGCCTACAGAACACTCGACGCGATAACCAACTCCGGCTCACATCCAACGCATGGAAATCGCTAAGGGTTCACTGAACAAACAGCAGTAAAAACAGTGAGTGCGCATTAAATATTTCCGCTGCCGGATCAGAGGCCTCCCCCTCTCCCCGTGACGAACTCGCTGGCGACTGGAAGAATAGGTTCAGAACTAGGGAAGAGAAAAATGGTGTCGTTACGAGGAGCGCTGAAAAAAATTCACGATGCTCCACACGCCACAATGACGTTATGGACAAAGAGAGGCGGCAGCGGCGCATATCGATCATGCCCAGTCCGGTCAGACATGATCCTGTCATGAAAAACACATGAGCATTCAGCTTTTATTTGTCAAATTCACGTCGTTTCAGATTCGGCTCCCCGCAGGCCATTTTTTCGTATAACGATTGTCAGCAGTATTGTCGTTTCAAAGATTTATCGAATAATAACCAGCCTGCCATCGGCAACACCATCACCATCATCATCACCATCATCATCAGCCCCGCCATCACCATCATCATCATCATCGCCATCACCATCATCATCGCCATCATCATCAGCACCGCCATCACCATCATCATCAGCACGCCATCACCATCATCATCGCCATCATCATCAGCACCGCCATCACCATCATCATCAGCACGCCATCACCATCATCATCGCCATCATCATCAGCCCCGCCATCACCATCATCATCATCATCGCCATCACCATCGTCATCATCGTCCACACCGCCACCACCATCATCATCAGCACCGCCATCACCATCATCATCGTCATCATCGTCCACACCGCCACCACCATCATCATCGTCCACACTGCCATCACCATCATCATCGTCCACACTGCCACCACCATCATCATCACCATCATCATCAGTACCGCCATCACCGTCATCATCACAATCATCGTCAGCAACGCCATGACCATCAACACCATTGCCACTGCCACCATGACCACTTGTGTCGTCATCATCGTCATCATAATCATCATCACGATGATCACGGCTACCATCGTTACAACAGCCATACTGAAGTAGAGACACACACGGTACATGAAGATACCTCAAACTGGGGCCAGTGCATCGGCATGCTGACACCGTGACCGTCTGACCAATACTTCAGGTCCTGCCTGCTGTCCGCACTGGCGATGCACTCGTTCATGTTGGCATATATCTGCTTGAGCCTAACAACAGCAGGAAGGACAGCCTTACATACACGACAGCACTCGCGCAAAACGAGTCGCGTGGCTTCCACGCCGCGCGCACGCAGATAACAGCTACGTATACGGTGAACGAACGCGAGTATTAAATTGTCCCACTCTGCCCCGACTCGCTCAATTTATCCAGCCACGCGTGTAACGCGGGAGTAATACGCGGACTTTAAATGCGCGTCCGGCAATGAAACGCGGCCGGCCGCTATTGACTGGAAGTATATAATTTCATGACTTGAATTTAACGATGCGAACGGCAGATCTGGAAGATGGCGGAGTACCGTGTGTATGCGTGCGACGCATATCAAGCACGCATCCCTCGCTCTAAAGTGAATACAACTGCGCAGGCCTTGCTTGTTGCACTGCTTTGAACAAGAACATTGGAGACCACTGGTGTGTTTTCCAACACGATATCGATACTATTATATATCTAGCATCACTTACTTTGGGTTCTCTGGTAGGTCGAGGGAGCTGTGAACACCAAACAGTGCTTCTTTGAAGAATTCCAGTCGTTTTTTCTCCATTTCCTGGCATGTTTCGAATACCTAAAAAATGATGTATTATGGCAATCACATATTTCTATAACAAGTGTTGGTCGCATTCAGGCGATTCTTGTAGCATCGTTCAGTGACTAAGTATCACGGAATAACCTCTTAACACTCCCATATATCAAGAGCTCATTCTCAGAAATAAAATTAGTCTCAACATTGAGTTTTCCCCCACAGAATTAACAGAACTCTATACACTGCGTAGACATGCTGAGAAACTCACAACTTTATCATGTACTAGCGGGATAACCGGCGTTGCCCGGGGAAATCAGTGGCGTTACTCAGTTGGTGACCGCTTGGTTGAAAGGAAAATACCCAAAAAAATCTAACTATCTATCTATCTATATGCATGCATGCATGCATCCATCCCATCTCATCCCATCCCATTCCATCTCATCCCATCTCATGCCATCCCATGCCATCCCATGACATGCCATGCCATGCCAATGATGCCATGCCATTCCATCGCATGCCATGCCATGCCATGCCATCCCATGCCATGCCATCCCATCGCACCGCATCCCATGCCATCCCATCCCATACCATGCCATCCCAAACAGTAAAAAATAATAAGAATTCAAAAGATAAAAGACATTAAATATAAAAAATTAAAATTAAAAAGTAAGAAATAAAAAATAATACATACTAAAGAAAAAAAGGGGGAAAAAGGGGAAAAAAGGGGAAAAAAGGGAAAATAAGTTCTCCAGCTGGGACTCGAAGCCAGAACCCATAGGATCTTAAAGGACACCTTCAGTAATCTTTTAGACAGCCACCGTCAGCATCCCCAGTGTGTCTCTTGTCAGAATCTTACAAACCACCAAAACACACTCGTCGACACGCAGGCAATTTTTCGCGTCTATTGCGCAACAGTTTCGTTAATTGGTTTCCGTGCACATAGTGATTGCTTGGAAATGCTATTTCGCCGTGACTCAGCAACAGACCTGCAGCTACATCGCAATAAACAACCTGTGCCTCAGTCTGCTAGCAACTGCAGTAGAATTTGCTGTACAGCACCGCACTAAGGGCTACATCTGTGTTAAATTGACTACGTCACGAATTTTCTATGGTGTATATTTGTAAAATTTTTGTTCCCATGTTTTTACACTGAAAGTAAGTAGTAACGGGACTAAATCTATCCTCAAATTCTTACCTGATAAGATTGTATCTCAACTAGTTAAAAATTCAAAAAACCTGGGCGATTTGATATTATGATCACAACATTAAATACTTGCTATGGGCTATGTATGAGTCACGAGTGTTTGTTTACATCGAACGGAATAGTAGAATAGGAAGTATAATGCAGGAATTTAACCATAAAAAGTGAACATAATTACCTACAATTTGTGAAAAAGTGGACATAATACTTTTACCATTTACGGTGACATAATCACTTTAAAAGGCATCTCCAGATTCTGGCTGTCCTCAAACAATTTACTGTCCCACAGAAAACGGTCGTGCACTTTGCTAGCATAAGTCGCTAGCAACGCAACAACAGGGCATTTCACCACGCGTTTGCCCACCTCTCTCATGTCGTCCATGTACTTGGAGTTGTAGTTGTTGATTTCGTTCAGCACCTGCTCGTAACGATCTTTAGTCTTCTCTCGCTCGTCCCGACACTTCTCCACCCGCTCCTTGGCTTTGTGTTTCTGCAGCACGCGAGCAGTGTCATTACGACATCAGACATTTTCGACGTGATCACGCACGTCAGCACATTTGATAATGCGCGAAATTTTTGCTCACGTTAAGACTCGACTACACCTCGTTATTTTCGTCATTGCAACGAGTAACGAGATAGCCACCGAATCTTCTTCGACGGGCGCCATGCCATGGCAGCCACGCTCGCCCGTGTGCACACGCAAGCATACGTACAATGCCGCGCGGTGACGAACTCACGTATTACACGCGATCAGATCTCGCGTGCGCGCGCATGCCTGACGAACACTCACATCGTCCTCGCTCTTGCCCGAGTCGTTGCGCGAGTTCTGCTCCTGGTGGATGGCCGATCGCTCGTTGCGACAGGCCTTGTGGTAGTCTGCCTTCGCTTTGTTCACCTTCTCGTACAGCTTCGCCCACGGCTTCTGCGCCTGAAAGCACACAGCACGCGACGCGCGATCACTGTTACCGACGAATGCTACGTCTAGCAGGGGAAGCCAGGGGAATGAAAATTTTAATGTGGAGAGTACTATGGAAGGGGGAGGGGGTCCGTCCATCGCAGGAGGGATTCTGTATCTACAGACACGTGCATGGAGGGATCTAGTCTGGGAAGAAACATGAGGGGGGGACATAGCAGGGATCTGGGAGGACACAGATGGGGGAGTGAATCATACGGATAGCCCTGAAATCTGTCTGGGTGTGGGAAGGCTGGGGTGACATGAAGGTGGGAAGACATGTAGTGCAATTTAACCAAACCCCTGTTAATAGTATCAGGGGTTAATAATGACAATTGGTCATTATTAACCCCTGATAGTATGTCATAGGCGTGCTGGCTATGGAGGAATTTATCAAGCATTTTGTACATGAACCGCACAGAAATCCCATGCATGAGGATGACATGCTAGGCAATGCAGCCACCTCATACCCACCCTCAACACCCCCATATCACAACGCTACACGAACCACCTTATCCACACTACCTCCACCCTAAAAACCCCCCACTGCACACCAAATAATGCAATCTCGCAGTCTGTTCACACTATGTCCACACTTAACACCCCAGGGATCACTACACGACAAAGCCTCGCCCCCACCACTGGCGCCCCCTGTCAGCACCGCTCACCCGCCGGAAGTTGTCGTCGGACTCCTTGGCCTGCTTCGTCTGGTATCCGCGCGGCAGCGTCAGCTTGTTGTAATTCTCCTTCTGCCACTGCTTGATGTGCGACGTCACTTGCTCGATGAGTCGATCCTTCACCTCCATGTGAACGTCGTGCTCCTGGTCAGCTTCACTCAGTGCCCCCACCCATGCAGACTTCAATGTGCCATACACAGGACCTACACGACAGATAGAGAGATATATATGTAACCTGGCCCACCCACGCAGACTTCAACGTGCCGTACACAGGACCTACACGACAGATAGAGAGATATATAAGTAACACGCCCCACCCACGCAGACTTCAACGTGCCGTACACAGGACCTGCACGACAGATAGAGAGATAGAGAGATATATAAGTAACACGCCCCCACCCATGCAGACTTCAACGTGCCATACACAGGACCTACACGACAGATAGAGATATATATATATGTAACCTGGCCCACACACGCAGACTTCAACGTGCCATACACAAGACCTACACGACAGATAGAGAGATAGAGAGATATATAAGTAACACGCCCCACCCATGCAGACTTCAACGTGCCGTACACAGGACCTGCACGACAGATAGAGAGATATATATGTCAGTGTTGTAGGTCTCGAGGCCGGTCTTGGCCTCGAGACCGGCCTCGAGACCGTTTTCCTTGGTCTCGGTCTCGGTCTTGGCCTCGGAGTGCAATGACTCGGACTCGGACTCGAACTCGAGCCCTCCGGACTCGAGGACTCGGGTCGAGGCCGGCTCGAGGCCACTACATACATAGTACACTACTGTACATATTGTAACACGACGCAGTTTACAAGAATTTAAAACTAAAACTTTTAGGTTTTCTAGATACACGGCCTAATCTTGTAACGTTTTCAATGGCTCGATTAAGATTTTTGTCCCTTTGGTTTGAATCTGCTGTCACTTTGTCCCTTTGCGCTTTTCCTACCACTTCTTTCTCTTCTTCTACCACTTCGAAGGTATTAGCACTCTGTAATTTGATTGAACAAGCCATGTCATTCGCGTAAAACAGAAATGGATCCGTTACTTTGACACGTTTCGTATGACTCGTGTCTCTGTGTTTTCGTGCGCAGTTGCAGCAAGCAGATGCGTGATATTGTTCGATACAAGCACACGCACGCACGCACGCACGTGTACGTGCACACGCACGCACACACTCATGCACGCACGTGTACGTGCACACGCACGCACGCTCGCATGCACGCACGTGTACGTGCACACGCACACACGCACGCACGCACGTCTACGTGCACACGCGCGCACGCACGCACGTGTACGTGCACACGCACGCACGCACGCACGTGTACGTGCACACGCAGGCACGCACGCACGTACGTGTACCAGCACACACACGCACGTACGCACGCACGCACACATGCACACACGTGTACCTGCACACGCACACACGCACGCACGCACGCACGCACGCACGCACGCACGAACGTGTACCTGCACACGCATGCACGTGTACGTGCACACACACGGACGCACGCACGCACGCACGCTCTGTGTAAGTTCATACGCACGCACGTGTACGTACACACGCACGCACGCGCGCACGCACGCACGCGTACGTGCACACGCACGCAC